CATTTTCTCCATCCACACAGAGGGAGAACAAGATGTCCTTATTTCTGATTTGATGTGAAGTTTGAGTGCAGTATATTTAACATCGTAATTCAGTAAGTTGGGACCTGATATCTCGGACTGCTCTTGCAGAGAACCTGGGTTTGAGTCATAGCACTCACATGGCAGATAACAACTGTCTATAACTCTAGTTCTAGGGGTATCCAATGATCTCTTCTGATCTCTGCAGGCATTGCACCACAGGTGTGAGCTTATACACATGCAGGCAATATACTCATATACATAAAATAACAACAATAAAGTATTTTATAAAAAAGAATTCAGTAAGTCATTGTCTTATCTGAGAAGCCAAGTATCTTTGAAAGCAAGAGATTCACTTGACAAATTCTCATTTCTCTGATCATAGTAAACATCTCTAGTATGTCTTAAAGGTTCTATGAACTTCCCAGATATTGGTTCAGTATCTTATAATACCACCCCCCAGATTTAAAAAAACAAAACAAAACAAAACAAAACTGTAATCCTCTGGGTACCAGGAATAGCCTACATTCTGACTTTGAGTACCTTTGCTTAACCTGACCTGATGGTACATGCCTACAATCCCATTACTCAGGAGGCTCGGTGTCAGGAGGATTATGATTTTTAGGCTAGTGCTCGATAAATAATGAGACCTTTCTCACAAGATAAACAAACCCAACAGCCTTCCAGAGACTTTCACTCATCTGTCGTTCACACATTGCAAACCTCCTTTAGGGTCTATTTTCTCTCCAGCTGGGGTGTTTGAATGAGAAACGTGTCCAACAGGCCCATGTATTTAGCCACATCATCCCCAGTTTGTGGTCCTTTTTGAGGAGGTCTTGGAACCTTTAGTAGGTGGAGCCTTGCTGGAGGCCTGATGTCACTGGTCACGAGCTCTGAGGGTTTATACTTCGATAGTTGCCCTACGCCAATTCCCTCTCAATTTGTGGGTGAAGATGTGACTTTGTATCTCGCTCTGGATACCTGTTGCCATTCCTGCCCTGATATTATGGAATCTTCTCTGTCTACCATGCTAGGCCAAAATAATCTCATCCTTCTATAAATTGGTTCTGGTCATGGTATTTTATCACAGTGAGTTCACTACACAATCTGCCACTTGTCCTTAGTCTTGGCCTGGTGGGTGACATGTGACACATCTGTAACAAAACACAATCCTAGGTTGTCTGAATATTAAATCTGAAATGAATTCGTTTGATATAGATTTTATTAAAATGTTTTTAAGCAGCTTATGGGTTTCCTGTTCTTTCTGTTTTATTCACCTGTAATTCATGTGAGATAAAATAAGTTTGTTAGATTCCCTTTCAGGGCATTTTAGAACTCAGAGAGCCATAATGACTCACTTCAAAAGGTTTTAATTATTTTCCAAAATTTTCCATGCTTATAAGGAGTCATCCAGCAACAACAAATAAACCACTCCCCACAGTGTACCACCCTGAGCCACAAAACACATGATTTCTATTTTCACTGATTAGACTCTAATATTGTGCATGCTGTAGTTTATAGAATTATTTACATTGCTGTATAGCATTCCAGTTTATAGACATATTTTATCATCCTTCTTCCTCCTCTTTCGGTCAAGAAAGGCTTTTCTGTTGTTTTACACTTGCTCTAGAGCATCTTTTTAAATTGGACCATTGTGTAGAGAAGAAGTCAAGCACATCACAATTTTAAATTGCATTTTCAGTTAACAACGGTCTGTAACTCCAGTTCCAAAGGATCCCATAGCCTCTTCTGTTCTCCGTGGGAACTGCACGTCATGGGTGCAGTTCCCTACATGCAGGCAATACACGCACACACATAAAAAATAAATAAAAATATTAATGTTTAACATCTTTTCATGTGCTTCCTTTATTTATAAACGTGTTTTCTTTGGAAAATATTCAAACATTTTGCAGATTTAAATATACTTTTTATCACTAAATTTTAAGAATCATTTTAAGGATTCTACGTCTTAATATAATCAAATAATATGTGCAAAGATCTTATCATTCTGTAGATTATATTTTTACTTGATGACAGATGATATTACTTAAAATGCAGATATTTAATTATAAATCTATTCCATGTATTTTTCTATTCTTAATGACACGTCAAGATGTCCAACAACATGTACTTGATTACAATTATAACATAGTTACAAAAATCAAATTTGGCTTCATTTGTTGAAATAGTATCTGTGTCTTAGAGCCTGACTTTACAGTGGATCAAAAACATCAAATGATTATGAAGTGAGGACTTTATCATGTCCCCAGGGTCCTGGGGAAAATCTACTCCCACTACTGATCTTTTTGACACTCATTGTATGAAGAAAGATTCTGGGCCAGAGCTGAAGAAACTACTTGGTAACAGGAAGGTAGCAACCCAAGGTAGAGCTGGAACCTGAGCAGAGAGCATGACACATTGTATTACATATGTGCATATATGTACATATATGCACATATGTATATATATGCACACATACATATACACAATCTTGACTGAATAAATAAATAACAAAGAAATGAGAGAATAATGTAAAATATGGAATCTTAAGGCAAAAATGAAAATTAAAAAGAAAAATTTCTGGACAAAGTTCTCTAATGGTCATTAGATCCCTGGAAAATCTAGCCCCTAAGCCTGAGATGTCCCAAGTAGAAGATTAAGAAGTCTTTGGGAAATACAGACCCCTGAGTCCTCTGTTCATTTGATATGGAGTCCCTAGTTTCCTGACACTCCACTTGCCTCCTGTGCCATCCATCTTTTGAGGTCATAGCCCTACAGGTCCTTATTTCACTGTGAGATTTCACCATGATAAACCAAATCAGTCCCAACTAGAGCGAGGTTTATCACTATGGACAAAGGGATCCACTTCTTTCTACCTGGACTAAATTTTCAGAGCTTTTACATTAATATGTAAATGAGACTCTAAATGTGGGGTGTGGTTTCCTTGCTGTTACAACATAGGAACATGTTTCACAACCCCCCCCCCGAAAAAAAACATTTGCTATAGAACCCATCTGAATCTTAGAAGTCATTGTCAACACTTATACTCCGTGTGGAACAATAATTGTCAATGAAATCTATTCACTGAGCTCAAAGGAAAGACATCACTTCGTGGCTGATTTCTGATTTGGTGATTACATTTCACATACCACAAATCACCACATGGTAATCATGGATGCTTAATTGGTCTACAAAATTAGGGGAGCCTTTGTTGATTTCTCAGGTGACATGATGATGCATGAATTGGGAGTTGTTCTATAACAACAATCACAGTCCTAACCATGACCCACACTTCAACCCTTCCCCCTGTGACACTGTAGAGGCTCAGAGCCCACCAGAGCATTTTGCATTTCTGGCCCGTTCTACAGCTTGATAACAGAAGCATTGTGCTCAGGAACCAAGAGCATTTAAGATTCGAACCCTGTTGCATCTGATCTTCTTTTTCTACAAATGCTCTTAAAGTCGCTTTTGATCGCCTCTCTGGGGCTGCAGGGTTGGAGCTCCACTCCTTGCTGTTGACCCGGCATCAGACTGTCTTCACCCCAGTGCACACGCTCTCAGTGTCATTAGATGGGGGAGATCTGAAAGAAATGTTGATTCTATTTGTCTTCACCTGGGCATGTACCTTTGACCACTTTTATGATTAAATAAAAACAAACCTTGATAATACGGATATGTTATGTGTCCAACTTAAAGTTACAGCCTGTGGTGAAGGTAAAAATAAGCGTGGTCCTTTTTTGCTTTTAATATGAAGTTGCTATTTCAGTGAACATCTCACTATAGTCAGGGTCAATGATCTCTTTGATAGGAACAAATGTCTTATTTGCTCAGGGCAAATTGTGACTAAAGCACGACCAAAAGATGTGGCAGCTACAAGCTCTACTGGGTCAGTGCAGGATGGACGCCTGGCTCAGACTCTAGCACGATCCCTGGCATAGAACATCAGGAATAGCAGTGGCACCATAATGGTACTAAATGAAGAAAGGTCTCTCAGAAGACATCTTTCCAAGCCTCGCCCCCACCTCAGCTTAATACATTGTAATAAGAACACTATAGGACACAGATAAGAAAAATCAGATCAGCCTCAGGAAAACACATTATAGCCTACCAGAAGCAGAAGTAGCTCAGCTTGATCTTGAGCAGTGCAGTCAGAGGGCAAGAGCTGAAGCAGTGACTATTCACTTACTCAATGAAGAGAGAAACTCCATTTTCTTAATTTCTCTATTTAAAGTTTTACCCAGTCCCTCTCTATTGCATCTGTTCTTTCACTCGAACAGGTGTAGCAGCCATTTTCAAGGATTTAATTCTCATAAGTATATAGAATATCAAAACAAATGCCATAAACTCAGTTGAGTGCCATAAACATAGTCATACAAATATAATATTAAATATTGTCAGAGAATTCTAAACATTGTTGTCATCTAAAAATATTTTCTTAGTAGAACCAGGTCACATGAGTAAACAGAAGGCATCAGCCAGTATTTTTGGTCTTGATAAGTAATTAGCATTCTACCATGAATTATTTTATTGTGTTTTCCTGTTCAAATGCAGACTGTAATTTACTGTTTGTTTTCATTTACATAGGTTTTTTTTCCCCTTAATGAATACTATGTGTTTTCGATGTAGAAACTTTAAAGGAGCAAAGTCTATAAATCTCTAGTACCTTCAGTAAGCCTACCATTCAAAGGTGAAATCAGCGTGTAGACTTTTGAGTTTTATTTTAAACCAACATCAACATTTGTATTGCATTACTATTGTACATTGTGTTATTTTGTAATTTAGTAACTTGCAATGTTAAATGCCCTCTAAAAGAAAACATCTTCAAGTCATAATAGAGCATGAATAAAAACATGGTGAATAGGTAGTTAGTTGTGTGCACATACACACGGCTGGCTGGCTGTGTTTTAATCCTGGCAAAGCACAGGTGAGGAGTTTGAGAGCTATACAACTAAATATTTCATGCTTGAATTTCGTTCACTGCAATGCGAACAAAACAGTGTCTCAACTGTACGGTTAGGAGGATTATATGAAGTAATACAAGCGATAGGCTCAGAAAAATGCTTCACATTTGCAAAATGTTATTCAAATAAATCATATTAAAGCATTGCAGTAACACAGAGTGACTCATGTCCATATCTCCCTTAAGTGAACATTTGAGTCATTAATTTAAAATGGTTATTATTGTTTGGTTAGAATAAAATACTACATGTGAACTTATGATGTGTGTGCATGTTTTAATAAATTTTGATACATGTGCTCAAATTGCATTCTAGGGTTATCTTTCACTCTGTATGTCAATTCTTCTAACTATCATCTATCTATCTATCTATCTATCTATCTATCTATCTATCTATCGAATCTATCTATCATCTATCTATCTATCATCTATCTACCATCTATCTACCATCTATCTATCATCTATCTATCAATCATCAATCATCTATCATCTATCATCTATCTATCAGTCATCTATCTATCTATCTATCTATTCTATCATCTATCTATCATCTATCTACTATCAATCATCTGTCATCTATCGATCTACCTATCTATCTATCTATCTATCTATCTAACATCTATCTATCATCTATCACCTATCTATCTATCATCTATCTGTCTATCTATCTATCTATCTATCTATCTATCTATCTATCTATCTATCTATCTATCTATCTATCTATCTATCTATCTATCTATCTATCTATCTATCTATCTATCTATCTATCTATCTATCTATCTATCTATCTATCTATCTATCTATCTATCTATCTATCATCTATCTATCTATCTATCTATCATCTATCAGCTATCTATTATCTATCTATCATCTATCTATCATCTATCATATATCATATATCTATATCTATCTACCATCTATTATTCATCTATCTATCATCTATCTATCTATCTATCTATCTATCTATCGTCTATCTACCTCTACCATCTACCTATATATCTATCATTTGTCAATCATCTCTTTCTTCTATTAGTCATCTATCATCTGTGAATCTATCATCTATTTTCCATTTCATCACTGATATTACATAAAAATCTGAAAAATTTCAGTACAGACCTCTGAGTATAAATTGATAATTGTGAATGTAAATAAAGTATGTGCTAGAGAGCCTACAGGCAAATTTTAGTGTTTGTTCATTTAAGAGTCCCTATATATATATAAATGAACTGTCAATATTCCTAATACCTGCACTGTGGGCTTGGGAAGAGTTATCCTTTCAATTGTTTTAGTGTGAACTACAAAAACAAAACCTTCAGTCTATGAACGTAAAGATAGAGAATAATGATGTCAAACCCCTAAAAAGCTTGAGGTTAAGAAAAGTTCTGAAAGGGAGAATCTACTTTCTTTCCTTCAATAAGAAAACATGTCAGTCACTATGAGTACTCACAGAGACCTCAAATGTATTTATGGACCAAATTCAACACAGACCTTGAATAAGGTCTACACTTATATTAGAATTCAGCTTGTGGCTACATCTTAGTGGTCGAGCACTGCTCAACATGTAGAGGATTCCAGGCCCTCAGCAGTGCACAACAGGAGGAGCAAGAGGAGCGAGAGAAGCAAGAGAGATGAAGAGCTGGCCAAGTAGAAGCAGCAACTTTCCTTTACAATACACACGACAACGTAACAGAGGCAGAAGCACTATTGTGTCTCTCAGGAATGACTCATATTCAGGAAGTCTATCAGAATGTCCTCCATAAATATGAATGAGACAAAAAATAAGGAAATAGATGGCAAAATTTCTTTCTCTACTTTTCTGCACACACACACACACACACACACACACACACACAAACACACACACACCAATATTTCACTCATATATTTGGTGGTTGATTTCAGTCTTAATCAGCCTAAACCTTCAGAGAATATATTCCTTTGCTGATTCTGAAATGATTTCTTTTCCTGTGTTCAGGGACAATTTAATCTAGAAGGTACAGAAGATGACTTCTCCTGTGCTTAGCAGGCAGACTGTGCATCCTCCCCAGAGGGATTTAACTGGAGAAGCACATTCCCAAACACAGGTGAACGATGGTGGAGACAGCTCTCTTGAATGGCCCAGTCCACAATCACACCTGTCTACCCAGTACAACACATGTACTGTGAGAGGCAAAGATGTTCTTTGCTTTAGTGATATGTGTTAATTCATTTTAGTTCTTTGTTGAATCACATATTTGTACCCTTTAAAATTCAGCAAGATGTATTAAAACTAATTCTCTGTCAATTTCTATCTGTTTCATTAATACCTAACTTACACAGAATTTGAAGAAAAAATAATTGCACACTTGCTTCATTTATTGATTTAAATACACATAAATTCATGGATAATTACTGTATTAAGAGTTATGGTCAATTATCTTCACAACTCCTCTGAGCACTGTGTCCTGTTTTACCAGGAAGCCTCTCTAGACCCGCTTCTCTTCCACAGTCAGCCATTCAAAGCAATAGCTCAGTAGCATTCAGAAGATTTCATCTTATTAATTTGGAGAAAAATTCTGATTTTGTTTTTGGTTTCTGAAAAAATTATTACTCTGTGTGGCACAAGATGACCTTTACTCATGATCCTCCTGTCTTCACCTGCTGTGGGGGTGGATCTACAGATACACTCCATTGATCTGTCTGAGAATCAACTTATTTTGTTTCATGTGTGTGCACGGATGTTCATGCATGGCACGTGTACACGTGTATTTGCCCATTTGTGGAGCCCAGAGACTGAAAAACCTGTCTTCCTCTATCACTCTTCCCTCATAATTTTTGAGAAAAGGTCTTTCATTGAACATGGAGCTCATCAGCTGGCTAACCTAGCTGGTCAGAACACTCTGCAAGTTCACTGGTCTATACTTCACCCCACCAACCCTAACTGTTCCTGGGGTCAGAGATGTGCCCTATTTTTATGGGTGTTGGGAGGTCAAACACTGTTCCTTATTTTTGTGTGATAGGCTCTTTACAACCTCATCAGCTCTTGAAATAAGATTTTAACTGAGTGCTCAGCCTTGACTTTTTAATTGTATCTAGGACAAAACCCTAAGTTCTTCTTAAGCACTGTGAATTGATAGAGAATGTACACTTATTTTCCAGATACGTATAGAGGTGTTTTCTATAGGAAACATATAAAATAAAATGATAAAAATATTCAGTTATTAAAATTATCATACCCTGTAAAAAAGTGATTAAAGGGAGAAAGCTCAAATCAAATATTCTCAAAACTCTTGAAAGTACTTACTTTCATTGAAAAGCATTAAATTACAAAAAACAATTATGTGTTATTTTAGATATATTTAAAACTGTATAGAAGATGCTCCTGACAGATATATTTAGAAAAAGTGACATACAAACGGTTCAGAAGCACCGACTGGGAAGGGTTAGGCATTGAGGAACCCACCCACATAGACTTAGATTGTTAGGCGAAAATATTTATAATTTACAAATTTACACAGTATATAACAGCTTAAAGGTTCCAAAATTTATGTTATATCACTTCAAACTTTTGAAATTTAAAATACTGCCAAGCAAGTTAAATCAACAGAAATGAATGAACGCAAATATAGTGCTAAGTATTTTCACAAAAGCACGAAAGTTGGCAATGTCAGGAGTGAGGAGAAATAACCAGAATCCCTTCAGTTGAGTACAACTGTGTGAATGTGGAATAAATACATGAGCCTAAGAACAGAAAAACAGCAAATTATCAGCATCATAATCACATGCTAATATTTAGCATGTGAAAGATACAAAATGCAGGTTGGACAGATGACTCAGTGGTTAGGAGAGCTGTTTCAGAGGATTTCCAGCACCCAGATAGGACAAACAACTGTCCATAACTCCAGTTCCAGGGGAGTCTGGCATTGTACAACATAGGCGCACTTATACGCATGTAGACAATACACTCAATCATACACATAAAACAAAAATAATAAATGAAATATTTTAATAAGCAACAAAAAATAGATGACAGTGAATTTTCTTTTTGAAAGAAATAAAATGAAAACTCCTTATATAAAATTGTTTACACTACTAAAGGCCAGGAAGAGAAGAAAAGGATTTCGAAAGGAGCTAAGAAATTATTATTTGTGTGAATCTCCGGGTGTGGGATGTAGCTCAGTGACAGCAACTGTGTTCTGTGGTGCTGAATTCATGAAAACGAGGGTGTTTTAATGTCATTACATTTTTTCTTTTCTTTCTTTTCTTTTCTTTTCTTTTCTTTTTAAAGCAGGGTCTCTGTAGAACCCCAGCTGGGCTGGAACTTATCATGTAGACCACACTGACCTCAATTTCACAGAGATCTCGCTGCCTCTGCCCACCCCTCCTCCCAAGTGCTGGGATTAAAAGGGTACGCCACCCAGGTAATTTTATTTTTAAAAAAGACAAATAAAGAAAAGAAATTAGGAAGAGAAGTAGATTAAAGAAAAAAATTGTCAAGAAAAGAATAAAAATTATAGGAGAAATGAGAACACCATCAAATAAGTTGTAATACAATTTATGTTTATCTAAATAAAACAAGGGCAAATAAAATGCCCAAATTTCTGTGGTAACTTCTAATAGAAAAGTAAGAAACTTCTACACTAAATCTATATATGCCTAATAAAAATATTCTTCTACACTAAATCTATATATGCCTAATAAAAAAGTTTAAACACACCCTAAGAAAATGCAGAGACATACTACTTCTCAAATCATTAATATGAGGAGATTTTCCAAATTCTCCTGTCCTGAATTACAATTTCCAGCTGGAATTTACTATGAATTAATGTTTTTGTTATTTTTGAAGATTTCCAGGGAAATGCAAAAACTACAAATTACTTAAAAATTGTATTTTAAATAGATAGATTTTCCCATCATATTTGACTATTGAATAAAGGGCCATAGTAATCCAGACATGTATCATGAAGACATGCAGTGTAAAAAGTGGAGTAGCATAGAATTTATAACATACTACCAAAAATCTTGTCAAATTAACTTTAAAAATGGTGGCAAAGAAGGCTGGAAAGATGGCTCAGCAATTAAGAACACTGGCTGGTCATTCAGAAGGTCAGTTCCCAGCACCCATTAGGTAGCTAACAGCCATCTGTCCATAACTCCAGTTCCAGGGGTATCAGATGCCCTCTTCTGACATATATGGGCGTTGCACATGTATGCATGTACATCCATGCAAGCAATACACTAATTTACACTAAATAAAATTAATGAATAAAAATATTAACAAAGAAAATTAATCCTGAGAGCACTCTGAAAACCATACACAGCAAAGGAGATGTCTATTAGAAGTGAGAACCTTTGTCCATTTATAGTTGTTATAATAAAAGACCCTAGGGCCGTGACTTTAAGAAGCTAATTAGAAAGATATTTCTATTGAATTTTTTAGAGTTTACTACAATGTGTTTTGACCCTGTTTCTCTGTCTCCACAGCTCCTCCCAGTCCGCCCATACCCTACCCACACAGATTTCTGATCATTTTATCCATCTAATATAATTAATGTTGCCCAGTTACTCTTGGGTCCGTATCCTGCCCTGGAATGTGGTTAACCTATCAAGTGACACTACGTTAAAGAAAACTGACTCTTCCTCTCTGAGCCATCTCCATTGCCAATAGCTTCTCTGCTGGGGACCTCACTTTTCCTGGCCACCTTGCCAGGGTTTTGCCTGGCATGACTTCTAACAGGTCTTCTGTGTGCTATCAGCTGGCACGGAGACTGTGAGTTGGCGTGTACACCTGCCATGCTTTCTGGAAACACGTGTTTTTTTGTCACCCAGCACTTCTGACTTTTATACTCTTTTTATCCCCTCTTCCACGAGATCTCTGAACTTTGGGGAGTGGCTGCAATATAGGTGTCCCATTTAGGGCTAGCAGCCTGAACTATCTGATTAATTTCTCCATTATTACTTGGGAATTGCTGTGTAAATTGATTTGTGCTACAAAAAGAAGGTTTTCTAATGAGGGTTGAGGGATGCACCAATTTACGGGTATGTGAGTTAGTCAATAGGAGTCTCTTAATGCTATATCCTTGCAGTACAATGACAGTGGAAGGTTCTCTGCTGGGGCGTGGGGCCTATCTATCCACTGGTTTATGACCCCAATAATGGTACCAGGTATAGGTTCCATCTAGTGAAGTAGGTCTTGTCTTAAATCCAATCATAAGGGGTTGGTCACACCCATCATGGCTATGTCATTATTACATTCCTGGGTGCATATTGCCAGCTCAGTCATTATTGGACCTCACAGGGCTCACAGCTGGATAAGGCTTATGGTTTATTTTCTTCTCCCATATGCAGCATAGCTCCTTCCATCAATTTGAAAGCTAGCTAGAAAAGATGGAAAGTTGAGGTCACTACCAGCTTGATTTCCCTGCGTTTTACGACTTGAGTATGTTCAGTAATAGGGTCTTACCATCTAGTTCTCATGGGTAGCCAAGAAAAACAGCAATAGCCTGCACTATGTTGGTGTCTACAACTCCACTACTCACCAACTCACAGAGAGGGAACCCAGTCATGGAAATGGGGTTTATCTCTGCAAGGATGGTGTGTGTATTTGGGGTATTATCTGTTTGTTACAGGGTAACGGCATTTTAATTTTTGTG